CCAAGAAAAAAGAAAATACAATTTTCCCTCATTTTTCATACAATTAGATATAATTATTTCAAAAGTTAGGTACATTGACAAAATAATATAAATTGAGAATCAATTTCAACTAATAATAATTTGGTACCAGCCATCAGTTTAACTGAATTAAATCATCACAAAAAAGTCTAATCTACAAACACAGGCACCTGAAATTGAAATTGGGTATTATATAGCTGTTTATATTTTTTCTTCATGAACTGTAAATGCTAACAACAAAATATTGTAAGTTTCTCATTATTTTATTATAGTCAAATTTTGACCTATGAGCTAAAGTATGAACGAAATAATAAAACCAGATAACCGCAAATTTCCATATATTTTTTAATATAATAAAGTATGTTTTACATCTTCTATATTATACGGCATAACATATATGAAAAAAAACCATTAGATCATATTTCAATAGAATACGCGAATGTCAAGGATTAATAATTACTTATTCAGATCTTATGCTGATGATTAAAACAAAATCGTGACATGTTGCCGGTACTAGTTTTATATCACAATAAGCACACCTAATGCATTAATTTATTGTAAAATACATTTAAGATTATAATTATCATATACTATGCATTTATCTTTAGAATTCATAATTAATTATAACTACTAATAATTTGTTTTATAGTTACTAGAAACTCGTAAATAAATTTCTAGTCCATTATATGGAACATTATTCACATATCGACACGTGTTAAAGCTGACTTAAGTATAAGAACTTTTTATTTCATTATATATATATATATATATATATATATATATATATATATATATTAGGGCGGGTCGATTCCAAAGTCGCTTAGGCACATATGATTTTCGGATACTAGAGAGATATACTTTATATACTAAGAGTATGGGGGACCTCTGAAGGTAGGTCCCAGGGGGTGAACCATGGGCATGGGTAGATCGGCCTTCCAAAGTTACTCGGGCTGGTCATACATTTGGACACTATTGGGGCGCTCTAAATGACCCAAAACAAGATTTTTCAAAATTTGACCCAATCTTTGGGTGAATGCACGGGACATCAGAATTTATTTAAGAGATATGGTTTCTTCGGCAAAGTATCTTATTTTGATCCCTAGTATACGAAAATCATATGTGACTATGCGACCATTTTTACACATACAAATCGACCCGCTTCAATATATATATATATTTTATAATGATTACCGTGTATATCACAGTTTCTATAATATTTTTTGCTTCAATTCAAAGCAGCGATCATTCTTTATAATAATCGATATATAATAAAATCAATCATTGTATTTGCACAAAGTCACTCGAACAACACTTTGTTCATGTATTTTATAATTATCTATTCATGTAAATACACCTACTGAGAAAATTTAATTGTACTGTATGATAATGATATTCAAGTATTAGATGTTACGTAATTCGTATTATTACAAACGATACGAATATGTTTAAAAAGTGCGTGTATGTGTGAATCCGGAACTTATAATTATTAAAGTTTTTAAGCATACACAGATATATAATTTGCTATATTATACACATAAGTATAGAAGAAATATATAAAATAGATAAGTATATATAAATATATAGAATAAATTTTTTGAAGCACCCTGTATTAGAATTCAAAAATTGAATATTTAACTTCTTTATTTAAACATTTTGACACTTCATATAATCTCAATAATCAGAACTTTTTTAAATTGAAAATCTTAATTAACAATAAACATTGAATTATAATTTATAATTTATAACTACATTCATAAAATAAAATAATTAAAAAAATAAAAACTGAGAAGAAAAATACTAATTGATCTTATCGACTATATTATAGAAAAATATGCATCATTCTTTCGAATTATTATCATTTTTATTTTTTGGTTTTGATAGTTTTTTTTTAATTTCATTATAATTTTTTTATCTACTTCTATTATACATAATTTTCATTCTTATTATTACTATTGTTATTATTTTTATCATTACCACTATTATTATATTGTTATTATCATTACCATTTTAATTACAATCAAAATAAATTAAAAATAAAAATCAATTTAAAATAAATTTGTTCTGATATTGCATTTTTTTGAAATATTTTTTTTTATTTCTTTTTTAAATTATGTATATTATCATCCTATGATGGCAACATTATCCTTTATCTTCTATTTGATTTTAATTTAAATTATCTGTGTTCCAAGTTTTTTTGGTTTATTTATAATAATAATAACAATAACAATGTATAATGAAATTTTTAGAAATGGGTTATCACTAGATGTTTTATAACAATTGAAACAAAAATCAAATATAAAAAATCTATTTCCTTCTTATTTTTGTTATAGTAGTATACACATTTAAATTTTATGAATAAATAAGTAGGAACGTTGAAATTTTAAATACCAGATAAGGAAATTGAGACAATATTCCTAACTGGAATTTAATTACTGCTAAAATAGATCCAGAAATTATTGATATAAACATATAAAAAATAAAAATCACATGAATTTATATACAAGTTTCCTTGATATTGATAAAAAAATAAATTTACACATGATGAACTAGGATATTAGTCAAAAAGTATGGATATGAAATAAATGTATAAGAACTCATTCAATTTTTATTGATTTCGTGTATAAAAATTTGTATGAGAATATTTGATCAATATTTTCAAGTGAGTTTCATACAATCTGTTGAAGAATGAAATTTTCAATTTCTGAATTTGTCTCTACATTTTTCATCATGATTTTAGCAGTTAGCAAAACAAACACTGTATAATTTCCTAAATAAAGTAAAAAAAATGTAGAAAAAAGTATTTATGTTAAAAATATCATTCCCAACATCACTGTATCTCAATATTCGAATGAGATAATACGAGTTTAATGATAATCAAATTTTAATGCATGTGTACTATTCTATTCTGTTGAATTAGATGACGCACCTGGCTGAATGACCTGACTCAAGAACCTGTATTTTTAATCGTGATGATTGACATTCAACAAAAAACATTCAAAACATGCTTTGTATTATTTCAAACTGGATACTAGAAAGAAAATTAGAGGTCTTTTAAATCAATCGTAATAGTTGGCTCTGAAGATTATTTTCATTATTAAATCATAGTTAAATTTTATTTTTAGAACAATTTATTTACTCATTACTGGTCACATTTATAATTTATTATATATATTTACATATACATATATACATATACATACATATACATATATATATATATATATATATATATTTACATATAAATATAATATAAAATTTCACAGATAGTGAAAGATATATAGATAAAAACAAAAAGCTTTTCAAGACATATGTCCAGGTAATGGCAATAAAACTAAATCATGTTTATAAAAAAAATGTAATGAACATCCATACGTTTTGAGTCCCAATTCAACTCCTCTTCAGTGGTTAATACACACAATGAACAAATTACTTGAATAGCGACCATATCTGTGATGAAAAAAAATTTAAATTAAAATAAAATCAATATATATATATATATATATATATATATATTAACAAAGTCTAGTAAACGGGCATAACATTAATAAAAAACATGAATTTCTTCCAAAAATTTATTTTACATACATACGTTTCTGATATAATCCTAGCCTTCATTCAGTGGAAACCAAAAATAAAATTAAAAATTGAATTGGAGTGAAGAGAACAAAAATATAAAGAGTAAAAAGTACTTACAATTAGTTAATCTTATTGTTGAATTAGAAAATTCTAATTTTAAGGATAAATCATTCTTCATGCTATGTAACATATTAGAAGATTTATTTATTTGCACTATTTGATTAAAAATAATATATATTGAGAACAACTAATGTCTCTAAGCTTTAGTATTATACTTATAACATAATTTATAAAGATATTATTTACTACTAATTTTTTCTCAACCCAATCTTCATCAATTTTGCGATTCTAAATTGATTCATTTCGTTATAAATACTTTCATCAAAACGAGACAAACATCTTGCCTGTTTATTATTAAATATTATTATTATATTATTATATTTCTGTCTGTAATTTTCAAATTTCAGAGTTAAATATTATAATTATATTTGTTTGGATCCACATTTAAAAATAATTCCATTTTACAAATAATTAATAATGGAAAACATACTGCATTACTAGATTTTATTTGTATAGTTTAATATTATCTATTTCCATTTATTGAATTTTTTTGCTTTAGTTTTTGAAATAGTAGTTTGAGTCTAAATTCATTAATATTTATATAATGAATTAGTCATATAACATTAAAACGATAAAATAATTGTTAATTAATTTGAAACAATAATTAAAAATTAATTAACTCATATATATATATAATATAAAAAAAATATAATATAAAAAAAAATCTGAGTGCTGTTTTGTTCATATTAAACAATTAATATATATATATATATATATATATATATATATATATAAACATATATCATCAGACGTAATAAAATTTAATGCGAGTAAAATACCCAAACATTTTCCTTTTGTAAAAATAAATCGATCTATAATAGTCTTTTATTATCGATTTTGTATATTTAATTACAAACATATTCGTTAATTCTTTCTCAGAACAATCAATAGCAGGATGTAAAATTAAAAAAAGTATAGTGGCTGACGTTCCTAGAATGATGCTGATTTTTTCTTCTAAATTCCCAAGATGTTAATCTTGAATCGAACTTACAATCAACATCCTAGCTCATCTTGGACAAAATTATAAAATCAAGCAAATCAATTCAAGGTGGGGTCTTCTCTATAAAACCCGTTCACTTTGAGAAACATGGACAGTATTAATTATATTCTTATATAATGCTTATGATAAAAATACACGATGACGAATACGAGATTTGTTTAAAAATAAGTGCTTAGCTATTAGAAACGTTTTTTGCATCTCAACTATTCTTAAATGAGCTGTAAAATATTGTGAACTGCATACGAAATAAAGGCTAAAGTGACGAAAGTTGCTATATTTATTATTTGTGAATATAGTAGGAATGCAATTTAATATATTATTATAATGGTTCACATAAAAAATATTTTGTTTTTGGGATTGTTGATAGTGAATGATGTGCACAGTTATGGTGTAAAAACAGGATCTTATTCAGGAAGTAAGATTTTAGAAATTATATACCAAATAAAAACTTACTATGCTAATAGTGTTTAGGAAAAATATTATAACAAATTAATTATTTTTGCCAGTTTAACTATCCAATTTTGTTAAAAATTATTTAATAATTTATTTTATAAATGCAATTATAAACTTGAGTAAATATCCAATAATCTTAATTACACTATACAGTAAACCGTTTAAATATTTAAAATGTTGAAGATTCTACTAGTTTTTTAAATTTCTTATTAAATCTTCATATTTATATTTAAACATAATCAATTACATTATTAAGTAAAAAATCAATAAATATTTTTTGTATATAAAATAATATTTTCTGTTTATATTAGGCCATATATGGTAAAAGACTATACTATAGGTCTTATCTTACTATACTATAGGTAAAGCTCAGCCCTGAAATAATAAAATTATATATTTATTTAAAAATTACTGCTCTTATTTATTTAATTATATACTTATGAATAAATGGTAGTTTTACGATTTATTTCTGTATTACAAAGCTAAGGTAAACTTATTTATAAACAAGTATTAAATATTTAATATTTTTAAGATAGACTTCTATTAACGAAAAAATTAGATTTGCTAAATTTTTTAGTGAAGGGCTAACTTTTTTGAATTTAAATCAAGGTTAGTGTTTCTAATATATTTTGGAATTATAAAGAAAATAATTTATACAATATTTTAATTTTGTCCCGAAGTATGTAACCGACCTTCAATATTATGATTTACTCGTATTTTTCTATAAATTTTGGTGTTTGGAATAATTATTTGGAGTCCTACCCCAAAATAGAATCAGGATATAAATATAATATTAATATTTTTTTTAATTTTTACAATGTGGTTATATGATTACATTTCTAATAAATAATTAGAAAAAAAACCGACCCCAAAAAAATTATATTTTTTTATCTAAAATTTTTATTTTAGTTTTTCGGTTTTTAATTTGCCTCACGTTCTTTGAAAGATAGACCATAAATGTTTTTTTATTGAATTAAACTTCAATAATATTTTTTATGTATTATATTGAAAGATTAATTTGTTATAATATTTTCAATTATTTCAATTATTATATATTTGGACGACCTAGCAATAATATTATTTTACCCTATATTTTTCCTTTAATATTTAAAAATACTTTAATAGCTATTAAAAGTTATAACTTTATAAATGCTAAGGGTCCATATTTAAATTGTCCAAACGTTTAATTCTGCAGATATATGATTGCATATTAAATTGCTTTTGCTACTATAAGATTTTTAAATTTTTATGATACTATATCACATTAAACAAAAAATTCAATTATATTTAATAAATTAGTAAATATATTTGCGTAAGTAAGTAATAAACATAAATTAGTACGACCATTACAAGTTATAAATATAATAAATAATTTTAATTTATTATAAATTTGATTAATTAATAATTAGTATCAATTATCGATACTAATAGTATATACTCCTCAACTGGAGAGTTGTAGATAAAATAGAGAACAAAAAAAATATTGATGTTAGAAAAAAAGTTATACATAAATAAGATTATGTCAATGATGAAGATTGATTTAATATTATAAAAAATAGCCATGTGAAATCAATTTAAGGCCAATATCAATAATCCATGCTATGTCTATGTTGGCGAAAAACTTTTCAAATACTTCGGCTACAATTCAATCCAAAAATTAATATAAGAACAATAATTTATTCATGACATATTAAAAATAATTAGAATTATAATAAAACTAATATTATTATCATTTACCAGGTAGTGCAAGCTCATTCGCAAGTAGTGGTTCCTTTGCCGGCAGTGGTTCCTTTGCGAGCAGTGGTTCCTTGGCGGGAAGTGGTGCTTTCAGCGGCGATGGAAGTGGTTCCTACAACAGCATAGGTGCAGGAGCCTACTCAGGCCCATCTGGAAGCGGAGTATTTGGAGGACCAGGATATGGTAAGTGCTGTAATATTAATTAATTTTATTGGTCGAGGATAATAGTGGAATAGTAGGTTTCATAGAAGTAAGATCTATTCAGATATGCACGTTTATTCCTGATTGTTTAAGATTATCCGTTATTATTTGTTAAGCATTTTGAATTTTATAGGATCCGGTCGACCTGGTTATATAAGTAACGTCATACCTATTGGACCAAGCTACGGGTCAGGAGGTATTGCTACAAAGAATTTATAACTTACCAAGCATCTGCACCAGAATTAAATATCTTTGATACTTTTGCGCACTTTACTAATTAGTTGCTTACCAACGGTTAATCTTAACAGTAAAGCACTTGTAGCATATGATCTACTTATAAGCTTATTCTCCGTTAGCATACCTATGTTATGTAATCAGTCTCTCTTGGTATTCTCGTTGACCTATTTTGTGGTATATCTTATTTTTTGGTAGTATCCAAAATCTATTCCTATTGTGTTTATATAAGCGTTAATTTACATATTTATACTGTCAATGGCTAAGAAGTGACCTCTAAATCGCTTATATTTAACATTAGTTCAACTTTACGCATACTCTATTGATAGATGCAACAAAATACTTTAATTTTTAAATGCTCAATGTTTAATTTTTAAAGTCATATATGGTAAAACAGGTCACGGAGTATATCTTTTACACTCATAACATTTTAAACAAAATAAGCGTGACCTTGCTATAAGATGTCTTCCGAGAATTGTTCCATTAGTTCACTATTCAATTTATTTGATAGTATAATTTAAATATTCCTGTCGAAATATTTTTTAAAAGAATGTAATTTGTAGGAGCCGGTAATCGCCCTGGTTATATAAATAACGTCATTCCAATCGGGTCAAGCTACGGGTCGAAAGGTACATTTCATAAACTTTACAGATTTAAAACTCGATTAGCACTCCAGATATTATTTCCGTGCACATTATTAATAACAATGTGTAATCTTTGTCGAAACTAATACGTACGTATTATTTTATCATAATAAATTTAATTTAATGAGATCTATTCTTTTTTCTAGGTGGTGCAGGAGGAGCACCAGGCGGGGCAGGTACAATTATTGTCATCATGAAAAATATCACACTGTAGCTGTAGAACTAATATTATCCTACGTAGTTAGATTAATTATTCTATTTCATATTCACCTTATTACTTTGTATGTCTTTATGTAGTGTAGTGATTAAAATAACCCAGTTTTGGTGTTTGATAAATTTGTATCTTAGTAAATCTGATATAACATAATATCTACGTTTTGCAAGCTTTTAATATTGTATGTAGTTAGTAAAATTGCTTCATTATCATGTATTTATACTAAGCAACTTACCACTGTATGTCAAACTAGTTGCAATTCATGTAAATCCATTCATTTTCTGCAGGTTGTACAAAGGGTTGTTCAAACGGCAAAACTGGTACCCACTATACTGGTGGATTCGGAGGTAGTCCTGGCGTCTTAGGAAATCAAGGAAAACCAGGCACACACGCTGGATTAGGTAATTCAAAACGTTGTTTCTTCTAAATATGCTGACTATGATCAATAAGCTTAACTTGTAAACCAAATATGAAACAAAATTCTGAAACAGTTATTATAAAATAGAGAGTTAGCGTAATGAAAAACTGTATTATAAAATATGCAGGAGCAGGAGCAGGAGCAGGTTCAGGTGCAGGTTCTTACTCCGGCTCTGGTGGTACTAGTGGATCGGGTAGTTATGGACCAGGTTAGTTACAATATATATTGAAAACAATTTTAAAAATTAATCGATATCACAAAATAATTTTTACCCATTGTGATTTTATGCAGGTGTGGGAAGCGGTTCAGCAGGCCCTGGTGCAGGTTGCACAACTGGCTGTAGCAATGATGGTGTTGGGACCCATTATACTGGAGGTTTTAACGGAAGCCCCGGTGTGCTTGGGTCTCAGCAAAAACCAGGAACTCATGTGGGTGCAGGATCGGGAGCCGGCAGTATTGCCGGTAGTTCCGCAGGTTAATTTATTTGCTACATATTTGAATATTGCAAACCATAGAATTAATAATTCTACTTATATTAAAATTACTGTAATTTATGTTACAGGTAGCATAGGTGGAACTTTTGGATCATTACCAAGCTATGGTAGTGGCTCAAAGCCGAGTCCAGGCAGTTACGGAACTCCAGGTGCATTTGGTACACCAGGTACTTATGGTGGCCATAGCCCAAGTGGTCCCGGCTCCTCGGGAAGTTATGGAGGTCCAGGCGTTCATGGTGGCCCTGGAGTTCCCATTGGTCCCGGCGGTAACGGTAGCCCTGGATTACACGGTGGTCCTGGCGTACACGGAGGTCCCGGCGTTCCCGTCGGTCCCGTAGGCCCTGGCATACCCGGAGGTCCGGGCGTACCCGGAGGCCCAGGCGTACCCGGAGGACCAGGCGTACCCGGAGGCCCAGGCGTACCCGGAGGCCCAGGCGTACCCGGAGGCCCAGGCGTACCCGGAGGCCCAGGCGTACCCGGTGGCCCAGGCTCCGGTGGTTATTCAGGAAGCCCAGGTTACTCGGGTACTCCAAGCATTCCCGGTAGTTATGGCAGCCCAGGTATTCCTGGTACTTCAGGTAGTCCGGGAAGTATTGGCGGTTATGGCGGTCCCCACGGTTCTAGTCCAAGCAGCCCCAGTGGTCCCGGCTATAATTCTTTCACTGGCACCGGTCCAAAACCTGGAACTGGGGCCGGTATATTTGGCCCAGGAGGAACCGGTGGAGGCGGAAAATATCCTCTAGTACAAGGAGGATCTTCAGCTGGTTCTGGTGCATTTTCTAGTGCTACTGCAGGTAGCGGAGCATTTGGAGGTAAGAAATTATATGATTTATGTATGAATGTAAAAGTCATAGCATACTGAAATTTATAAAAAAATATTATTTTAAATTTTTATATAAATGTTACTCAATACATATACTCTTACTTCTGATAATTTATTAGGTGCTTCGGGTAGTCCAACATATGGTTCCAGCCCAGGTTTTCCAAGCTCCGGAAAACCTGGATACGTAGGCAGCAGTCCTGGAAGTCCAGGTTTCGGTGGTAAATAATAGACATATATATTTTTAAAAACGGAATCCTAACTTCAATTTTAGTGTATTTACCAAACCGGGATCTTTTCTATGATAATTATATAAAAACTAATCAATTTTCAGGTATTCCAAGCAGCCCAAGTTACGGATCCGGTCCCGGTAGTCCAAGCCCAGGAAAACCAGGGTATGGAGCAAGTAGTCCTGGAGCTCCAGGTGCACCAGGTTCTCCAGGGTACGGCTCAGGACCAGGCACTCCAGGAAAACCAGGACCTGGTGGAAGCGGTTTTGGAAGCCCAGGTTTTGGACCTGGAAGTGGTAATTTCTTGGAATATAAATATAAAAGTCACACGAAAATAAATTTATCCACCTTAGAAATGTATACTTCTGATAGAAAAACCAACTTACTTACTATCTCGACGATTCAAGTCTTTAACATCATTTTAATAATATAATACAATATGAGCGACCCATAGAAACTAGTTGAATTATGAAATTTCAATAGCGTTTTTTAATTTTAGTATTTTTACCAAACCGGGATCTTTTCTATGATAATTATATAAAAACTATTCGATTTTCAGGTATTCCAAGCAGCCCAGGTTACGGATCCGGTCCCGGTAGTCCAAGCTCAGGAAAACCAGGGTATGGAGCAAGTGGCCCTGGAGCCCCAGGTGCACCAGGTTCTCCAGGTTATGGTTCAGGACCAGGCACTCCCGGAAAACCAGGACATGGTGGAAGCGGTTTTGGAAGCCCAGGTTTTGGACCTGGAAGTGGTAATTTCTTGAAATATCAATATAAATGTCATATGAAAATAAATTTTATCAACCTGAGAAATGTATACTTCTGATAGAAAATTCAACTTTTGTAAGTTTTATGTTTTCTCGACAATTCAAGTATTTAACATCATCTTGATAACATACTACAATATTAGAGGCCCTTAGAAACTAGTTGAATTATGAAATTTCAATAGCGTTTGGAATTATGATCAGAACTATATAAAATATAGTTTTTATAGAGGATATGAAAACGCAAATTAGTGCACATTAATTAATATAATTAAATATATCATAAATTTGCAATGAAAATCGCATTGAATAGATTGTAACTGTATTTTTGAAAAAAAAAGAAAACAAGAAGCATATGATAAGCAAAATTTCACTTTTTATTGATCAAGTAGTATCGAAAAGTTCTTGCAAGTCGCTTCAAAGCAAAATTTTACTATTGATTTCTTATTGATTATTAATTTTTAATGAAAATTCATTATTAAATTATTTTAATAATTGTAAACCTATAATATTTCATGCAAATTTAACAGATTTCAATATTCTTACTTCAGGAGGCAAACCAGGATATGGAAGTTCGAACAAACCAAAGTGCGAAGAAGAAGATGACTGCTCTGATGATAATGATTATGACTATGACTCCAAATATGGATCAGGTTCAACTGGTTCCGGCGCCGGGTCAACAGGCGGCTCAGGATCGTATATAATGAAACATCCAGGAACGGGCGGACTACCGGTAAATACAGCTTCTGGACCAACCTATGGACCAGGAAGTTCTGGCAAACCTGGATTTGGAGGTAAACCTGGATTTAGTGGTACTGGATCTGGTTCACATGCAGGCCCATCATATGGAAGTGGACCCGGTTCAAGTGGCCCAACGTTTGGAGGTGGTTCAAGTTTGAGTGGCCCTGGTTCTAGTTTACACTCAAGTCCATCATACGGAAGTCATCCAGGTTCGAGTGGTCCTGCATCCAGCCCACATGGTAGCGGTACGCATTATACTGGAGGATTTGGCGGTAGTCCGGGCGTTTTAGGTAATCAACCGCAACAAGGATCAAGTGTTGGAGCAGGTACCTACAGTTTACAGGACTATAGGCGAAACATTATTTCATTTAAATATGATTTTACTTCTGTAGGAGCTGGGGCTTATTCCGGTTCTGGATCTGGAGTGGGCGGTGCAGGCGTCGGCGGTGTAGGAGTTGGCGGTGTTGGATCACCGTACAGCCCTGGCGGTATATATTTTTAAAATTATAGTATAGATATTTTTTGTGAAATTAAATATAGAGAAATAACGTGGATTTTTAGCTGGCGGAAGTGGACAAAAAGCTCCCGCTGGTGTAGGCTGTATGACTGGTTGCACAAATGGTGGAAAAGGAACTCATTATACTGGAGGATTTGGTGGCAGTCCAGGTGTGTTAGGCTTGCTAGGAGGAGCAGGTATATTACGCGACGTAAATTCTTCTCTTGTTCACTATATATTGATTTAGTAAAGCAAATTACAAAAATGTTTAGTTTATGACCCGAAAAAAGCTTGCAAAACGTGATATTATGTTTATATACTAATTATAATTGTTAGAATATAATTAAATATAATTAATTATGTTTAATTATAAATACATTGAAAAATGTTTCAAATGAAGTATTTATGTAGTTAGCAGTGCAGGATCTTATTCCGGAAGTGGTTCATCACCTGGACACCTTGGATCAGGAAAACCTTCTTACGGTAAATAAGTATGCAATATTTATTTAGATTTAAGTTCATTTTTTCAAGGTTCAAAAATCACCAAAAATTGATGATTTAGGTTCGCATCGTTTAGGCAAAGATAGTCCAATTTTTGTATTTAAAGCAGATCCTAATTTAAATGCGCGAAAACGAAATTCATTAAAGCATCGTGGGCATTCAAGAGCTATTGCTACTAGAAAAAAATTACAATTACCTACTGAACAAAGTATGGTATATAAATTGCAAGAAGAAAATATAAAAATAAAAAATGCTCAAAGCATTGAACACAATTCTATCGCCCCAGTAGCAACGACGAAACAATCTGCATTAAATAATTCAATTTGCAATCAAAATTCATGTGTAAGAAGTCACTTAGTAAAAGATTATACAAACAGTAATGTAGAAGATGAACCAGGATCGATAAGTGGTAATATCAGTATCAACTTATAAATAATTAATATTGTAGAAATGTGCAAATAATGTTGGAGTAGAAACAAAAAATTCTTGGAATAAGGTGGTAGAATTTGGATACTAATTAACAAGAAACCTGACAAATTCATTATAAAAGAGCGTTGCAATAAAACCATATTGTAATGGGTGCGCGTGGATATCACATAGTTCCTTCTGTAGTATTCTATAGATTCTGGTAGAAATTATATTAAAATAATTACTTATAGAAAAATCTGTTATTGCAGATAATTCAAAAGTTGAACAATTACCTATCAGTGATCAAACCGCCCATGATATAATAAAGTCAAGATTTAATGAAGATTCTAAGAACAATCATTTGGATCCTACATTAGCTAAATTGAATGACTCTATAAACGAAATACATATTGATAACAATGTTACAATGAATTCAGTATATCTCGATGGAACAGCTTATATTAAAGTTGATACAATGACGCCTACTCCTAACAGCATATCAACCACCACAAATACTGACGACATTTCACCAACAATCAAAATGAATGTAAATACAGAATCTGAAATGGTAGATAATACGATGGGTTTTACGGATTCAGCAACAAGAACATCAAATGTGAATCTAGCATCAAAAAGTGGCAATGATTCAATTATTTCCTTGGACACTTCAACAACGTCGATGAATTCAAATAAGTCATCAGAAACTGTATTTGAGATAACTATCCCACTAGAATCTTCAACAATGAGTATGCATTTGAATACAGCAAGCATTGTCGACGATGTAACTACACCAATAAATTTGTCAGTAAACACCACAAAGGCAAATGCAGTGTCTGAACCTGTTGATAATCCGAATGCTTCTGCGGATCCAATAATTATGACAACAAATGTAGATATAGAATTAAAAGCTGGCGATCCAATTACTTCTATAGAACCATCGACAATGAAAACAAATATAAATTCAATGCCAGAACTTGTCAGAGATGCTCATACCGATTCATCGAACATTATAATGGATCTGAATACAGTTCCAAAAACTGCCAATAATCCAATGACTATTATAGACTCATCAACAATGACAACTAATGTAATTACAGTATCAAAATTAGATAATCCAGTAACGTTTACAGATTTATCAACGATGACAACAAATGCAAACACGATGTCTAATCCAGAAAAGAACATAAAGGTTACGACTGAAAGCTATATTCATGACGATAAAATGCCATCAACTATGGTTCAAACTACATCTTCAAGTATTCTAAATAATACTCATTTACACTCTAATGAGAGAGATAAAAATGATGACACTAATGTCGAAATATCATCATTTGTTTCAGATGATAAAACAACTGTTCCAACAGAAACAAATCATAAAGATTCTACAGATAGTAAGACATTATTCACAACTGAAATAACCACAGATCAATATTTAACTACTTCGATTGATCCATATACCACTAACCCATATGAAATTAAAATGACTACCGGTTCTACCACAACTTCAGATTATAATAAAGATAAACATGTTATAACTACAGATTCAATAACTAGTAACAATACGCCAAAACATGCAGAAAGTTTACCAAAGCAAGAAAATATAAAACACAAAAATTTCATGGAATACATTCCAGTAGTTGTGTTACAGGAATCGCATCCTATTTTCAAACAAAATCCAAATTTGAAACCTAAAAATAAAATAAAAAATAATGATAATATTAACCCCATGGCGACTATGGACGCACCAATTTTCGAAACTGCTCCAAATAAATTAGAACAAATTTCTGATCAAAATGATGCAATACCGCAAAATAATTTGTCAGATGATTATAAATCAGAAAATAAAAATAATGATAAAAACATGACTCCTGAGGAGACTAGCAAAGTGGATGTACCAATCCTTTCTAATAGATTTGCTGAAAATATAAATGGTCATGTAAAAAATAACCTTTGTCAACATAATTGTAATGAAGGAAAACCACTTGTAGATCCTATTTTGACAAATAACTCAAACCAAGATGATATTTATCAGGATAAACCAGAATCATACATAAAACATCAGGAACCCGAAAATATGAATACAAATCAATTTGTACAATCAGACCAAAACTCTCAGCCATCGCAGAGTTTTACAACGAACATACCGTTTGAAAACACGAACCAACAGAATTTGGGTACACAAATTCCTAATAATCCATTTACAAATTTTGGTTTTCCAAATAACTTCTTTGTAAATCCATTCCAAAATGCATTTAACAATTTTACTCCCCCAGTATTTCCTTTCAATCAATTTGCCTTAAACAATCCTGCTGCAGAAGCTGCTGCTGCTGCATTAAAAACCTCCTTTGGGGGGGCAAACATATTATCAAACTTAGCTCAGTTACATGGAGCCCCAAATTTATTTCCAGACTTTATAAATCCATCCAATGTGCAACCACAAACATTTTCTGCACCGAATGAAGCACCACAATATAATTCACAAAATAATGAAAATAATGATAATTCTAATTTATATACTGATTCTGTACACTTACCATTTAATGGCATAAATCAATATCCTGACATAAACTCACAAGAATCCACATCAAATTTCGCAGGAAGTGGTGCAGGCGGATCGCCTTATGTTGGAGCTGGAGGTTCAGGTGGACCTGGAACGATAGGATTTGGAGGTGGCCCTTCGGGTTATGGAGGAGGTAAGTTATATATGTAACTGTAACAAGAATTTATCAAAATTCTTTATTATTTTTCATCTTTTGTATTTGAAACATATTATAGTTTTGTTTAAATTTTATTTAATTTATATTAAACAGCCGGAAGTAGCAGTGGTGCCTTTTCTGGAGCTTATTCTTCAGCAGGAAGTCTTGCAGGCAGTGGGTCTGGTGTTGGATTTGGAGGCCTACATGGTGGTGCAGGAATTAAAGGAGGTAATTAACTTAAATGAATTAGATCAATTAAGTTTTAATAATATCAGGAGAATTGTTTTTATTATCACTATTATTCACAATAATTAGAAAATAACTAGTGGGTCGCATAGCATCGTGCCTTAAGGCAAATTGCTGGAACTTCCCGTACCAAAAATTATTTTTTTTTAAAAAGATTAACATTTTTGACAAAAGTTTACTTTGTATAAATTAGATTTCTGAGAAACTATAAATTTTTGACAAAAATTTACTTTTTTTTGAAAAAGAAAGAATTGTTGAAGAAAAATTTATTTTGAAATATTTTGGAAATTCAGAGCATTTTTTCAAAGCAATCGTAGTGCTTTAACTGCATAGAGATAAAATATCGAAGGCGTCGCCGTCTAACGGATGAGCATTGGTACGGAACCCATAGGAATGTAAACAAAATGTATATTGTTAAAATCTCTATAAAATATCTGATAATTTGATGTGCATATGTCTAATGATCATTTTGACCGCCAGATGGCGTTTTTTTACTTTTTTTACTAGATCTCCGAAACCGCCAGACCTACCTTCATGAAAATTTGATCGGTTTATTTGATCAAGTAAAATGTTTTTTGAATTATTCAAATCGAACGCTCCGTTCTCTTAAAAACTGAGTTACGGTTTTTGGCACTTTTTGCCCCATATATTCGGAACGGCTAGACCTGCCTTTGCCAAAAACTAATCAGCACGTTTCCTTATCAATACGAATCGAATGTTTTTTGAATTATTCAAATTTGTATCCGAACACACACACGAAAATTTGTATCCGAACACACACACATACACGCACACACACGTATACACACACATACATCAATTTTTTCTAAGGTATGCCAAAATGTTCAAAATGTTTTAAAACGTGAAGATATAAAAAAAAATTCATTTTCTATTTTTTTGAAATTACTATAACTTGCACTACGGGAAGTTAATAATAAAAGAACATAAGTTGAACATTTTAACAACTGTATCGATTTTTCAAAACAAGAGTAAATGTATCTATCTTTTTAAAATATTATATAAAAATAAGAAATTTAATTATAAGTAAATACAAAAAAAAAATTGAATAAAATATTAGAATTAACTGAAAAACTGGAATCAACAAAAATTGCACATAAAATTACTGAAATAAACTCATAATTTGAGTTTTACACTTTTTCACAATGATGATATTGATTCTATCATTACAAAGTAGATCTTGTAATATTAAATAATTTATTTAAAATTGCACCATTTAAATGATTATATTTTTAATAAATTAAATAGGTCATCCAGGAAGCTTCTCATCAAGTTCCAGTGGATCATATGCCAGTTCCTACGCCAGTAGTTCCAGTTATTCAGGATAATTTTTATTCAAATTAAGAATATATTTTGAAATTTTCTTTAAGTTGAATAATAGAAATTGATATTCTAAGATATAAATTAAGTTAAAATATAATTTTTGATAAATGTGATTTATTATAAAATAAATTATTATAATCTAGATAATATTACCAATTTTGATACTTGATAATAATTTATAATATATTGTATTCTTGCTTTGTTGATCAAAATAAAATAATAAATTAATTCAAATAATTTGATAATATTAAGAAACATTTCTTGTGTGTTGTTTCTCTCAATGTTTCACAAATCAAAGTTCTTCATTTATTTCATCAATATCAACTTCTTTCTTGAATATTTCTTGAGGAATATGCTTGATTAAATGCTTTGGTGCAACTGGTAAATGAATCGATAATTCGTTTGCCCATATTTCTGACATTTGAATTGGATTTGATTCCATTGTTTGTATAATTAAAGAAATAATTATTATGAAAAAAGCACATTTAAACATCACTGCAATAATACAAATTCACGTATAGAAAGGAAATTAATGATTATTATATACCAAAGTAAATTTACATACTTTTGAGCTGAACTATATTATTATATTAAGACGTTATAAGTTAAATTTGTAACATATGGTAATAATTTGCCATTGATTTGGTGTCAATGTCAATCAAATTATTATGAATATGTAAGCAAGTTTAAGTCGTTTCCAGAGATAAGCACATTCAAAACCATTTGTAAAATTTATGAAATATGTAATAGTTATACATAAATGTTTTATGTATATGTTTCATATTCATTTGAAAACACAAGAAAATTTTTAAATAATTGTTATCGATAGTATTTAAAAAAATAATATAAAGTAATTGCTTGAATTTATCCATGGTTTTACTACTCAGTATATGTACATCACTAAATTTTAATTAGAACAATAACTAGAATATACATAAACAAATCAAGTTAATCAGAGTCATACTCCCAATAGAAATGTTAAAATTGGTACATCTCAAATCATTCTACATATTGGCAAAACAACTTTACATAAAGAACATAATCATAAAGTTCATTTAAAAAGTTTCCTTTCATGTCCATTTACAACCAAAGTATCTTTTTTATCGGGAACTACAAAAAGTCTCATAGATGGTTTCATTGCATTAGTTTGCATTCCGAGGTTTGCTCCATTTCCAGATATTTGCATATTATTTTTCTGGTCATTGTCAATCCCATAAGATTTCTCAATCATATTGACCAGTAGAAGTATTGTGATTAAAACAAACCACAAACCAGATTTACCCATCACTAAAATAATAATAAATTTATAACTTATTCTAGAGAATGCAGAAGAATATTAGTAATTGGTAATATATTGGTACTAATTATATTGGATTTTTTCTAACATTTTTATACACTGTGTGAAATGCAAACGATGAACACTGATGTACTAAAAAAATAAAATTTATAGAGGTACTATAAATAAAAATGAAATATAACTAAATACATAATTTTATATTGTAATAACATAAGAGCACTGGTAAAGAAATAGGAAAAATTAACTGAACCAGAATTGTTCATGATGAAACTATCATATGAGAATATAAACAATATTAATATATTTTATGTGCATATATGTATGTATGTAAACTTTTTTATAAAATTAATTAATAGAATTAAAATAATTTAGTGTGATTAATGTAACCTTAAATCATATTTATCAATTTCTGCAATCACTCATAATAAATTGAGAGCAAAAAGCTGTTATAGCTATGAAAGTAGATGCATTTGTTAGACTAAATTTATTATTATATCATTTGCACTATTTTTATTAGTTTTATAAAAATCATTTGATTTAAAAAAATTTAGTTGTCACAATTATAACTTATCTTAAATTAAATAAATAGCACAGTAAAATTAAAACAAAATTTTTAGTTTTGCTAATTTATATATAAATAAATATTTTATGGTTATGCACTTCTACTTACTTTTTTAGTATTGTAGACAATTTTAATAATATTTTTCCACTTTTCTGTTTCACAAATTTGTCACTAGTCTGGTAAATTATATTTTTACAATTGCGTTGTTGTTATTGTTTGATTTGACTCATTGACACAAGCATTGATAATGTTATATCTTATGATTGCAATATTTGCTTGTGCAAATATACTCATACACATCCTAATTATATTAAAACTTGTCGGAATATAAAATTAGCGGAATCGATGTTTTATTGCTACAAATAAAACTTTCAATGAATGATATAATTTTATATTGTAAATATTGTAAATTAATACGGTTTTGTATAAAACTATATTTCTAGTTCTCTAAAGAACAAATACACAATACACACATACACGAAATCATTTTTTTTAACATAATTACAAAATAACTATTTTTCATTAAAATAATCTTCTTTCGTGTCCATTTATGACGAATGATTGCTTTCTCCTCTCAGGAGCTCTAACAATTGCGGCCTTCAATTTAATAACTATGGGCCGATTTTGAATATCATCTTTTTGTTCAAAATTATCTTTTGCATAAGTTTCTTGGATCATGAAAATCATCAAAAATACAGAAAGCAAAACGAAGCCTAATTTCAATTTATTTACCACTGAAACACCGAAATACATAATGTAGTAAAATTATAGGAAATGCACAAAAATTCACAAAAATTTCACTTACTTTTATTAAAAATTCACTTACTTTTATTAAAAATTCACTTACTTTAGTTTGTTGAGTTGTTTTAAAATATATTGCTTGAGGTAAAGCTAAAGTAAATTTTCATACATTTGTTACACTACTGAAATTTGGAATTGAACTTTTGACTCCAAAAGTGATAAAACAATAGCGTGTATATGAATATATATGTTTTAGAGTATATATATATATATATATATATGGCGGAATGAACACCATATGAAGTTGAAGGACGTCAATTGATGACAATGGCGGAATGAACACCATATGACAGATGTCAGTTGAATAACGTCAATTGATGATAAAACTAAATTATATTGGGCTACGTTGATTCGGATCTGGCATCAAGCAAGCTATAACGATCTGATTGTTTTTATACGATCGAATATTATTGTCGCGCTTTTTAAAACGATCGAAAATATTGTATCGAGTTTTTTGCCAACGAGCGTTTTCTCGTGAACGAAATTTAGATTTGATTTAATGTTATATCAACATCTTTATCAATTGAGACATTAATAAACAGTCATTATCGAGTTGAAATAAAATTATTGCGATTTCATTCAAGAATTAATTAATTGATAATATATGGCCCACCAGCGCCATAATTGGTGACCCCGACGTGATAGTGAAATCATTAAGCAAGAGACATTCTCAACGTCTTAGTACCCATAATTGGTGACGTCAGACGGAGAAAGAAAAACACTTGTCAAATACAAGTACATTAATAAAGGTAAATTATACCAATTTTTATCAACATGTCGACTCGATCTACGTCCATCAATGACGAAACAGTGCTCAACAGATCTCTGATCGATCTGGATCACGAGGCGATCTTTAACACGAGCAGTCCTCGTGTTTCTGAACATGAACATGACAGTTATGCTGATCAATATAATACAGCAGCATTTAACAATCACCGTCTCACTCCATTCAATGGAGATTCTCCAGACTTAT